AGGAAGGAAGGAAGGAAGGAAGGAAGGAAGGAAGAGGGGGAGGGAGGGAGGAAGATTACATACTCTCTATTTTGGAATAATTCTGAATTTACAGAAAAGTTATATAGTACAGAGAGGTCCCGTCAACCCCTTACCTGCTTTCTCATAATGTTAATATTATACACTGCCACAGTGTGTCTACCATAGCTAAGAAACCAACATTAGTAGTTGATGTTTTTTCAACTTATTTTTCAACAAGGAAGCCTACCACTGAGTCGGCAAGCTGCACACAGGCTGTGAAGAGGAATGGCTGGCCGGGGCACACAGTCTGGGTTTCTCTAAGCTGAAGGCGGACGGGAAGCAGCTTCCCGGACACCATGGGTGGCCTTTGGTCGCCTCAAAGGAGCCCAAGGTCGCAACCTCTGTCCGACAGGCTGATACCCACAGCCTTCACCCCAGGAGAGACCGTGACTTTACAATCTGATCCCAGAAGGGACTGTGATGGGGTCAGGAGAAGAAAAGGAAGAAATGCCATCCATCATATCAGACTCGCCTCAAAGTTCAGCTCACCTGCCAAGAGGAGAACATTGTATACTGAAAATGAAGATAGGTAAGAAGAGTTAGGAATGGCGTATCGTATGTCTCACTCGAAGGAACAATTCGTCAGTGCTACCGAGCTGTCAGCTGCTGACATGATAAGGAATAACACCAAATGAATAATGTTTCCTCCAAAACCAACTCCTTTAATTACAAGCCTCTTCTTTCCAGAGGAGAGACAGAAGATGCAGAAACACCAATTTCATGCACTTGTGCCTGAATAATGTCTCCATGCTGCTTTTTCCAGATGGCGACCTTCTCACTGGAGGGACTAATGATGTGGGCATATTTAGGGAAAAACCAATAACGGAGTCTTTAACCTTCAACAACAAAAAGCATGTTGTACAAAATGTTCCTTGGGATACATTAGAAAATATCAATTACATTGCTCACTGAGGTGTAATCAGCTGTAATAATCAAAATTAATTTTTAAAAATAATTAAACAGACCCCAGGGCAAACAGTCGATGCTCTCATCCTATGACATCACAGCGTACATATGTACCTGAAAAGTTGTGCCTTCTGTTAGCAACAAAGGCATCTCGCGAGGATGAGTGATGGATGCAGGATGTGAAGGCTAGTGAGTTTCATCGCAGCAAAAAGGGAGAAAGCATTTTATTCCCTCGCCCCATGCACATCCTCCTATGTACCAGGCACCATGCCCAGCCCGACCGAGTTACTGATATTAGATGCTCCAAAGCAAACATGCAGTTAATTTTTAAAATTAAAACATAGCACACTTTGTTTAAAAAATAATTCATCCTTAAAAAAATCCACAAGGTACTATAAACTATAGAAAGGATGAATAAATCAGGTTGAAGGTAAGCAGGGCTCAAACAGGAAGGAAGAAGCAGGGAAAGGGATATGTGCATGTACATGTATCTGCATGTGTATGTTTTTTTTGCAGAAATTTATGCCACTAGGTGTGTGCAATTATAAGACCTGGGTCATGTTTACCTCTGGGAGATTCTGAGTGCCCAGATCACTGTGCCCAGAAATAGGCCACTGACAGGAGTCACAGTTCTTCCTGATGCTGACAGCTGAGGGAGACGTCCCCTGTGGCTGCCCTCTCCCCACTTTAGTCCAGCCACACTGGTCTTTGCTGCCTCAGAGCATTCCAGCACATGCCTGTCTCAGTGCCTTTGCCTGATGGTCCTCTCTGCCTGACTGCTCTTTCTCCAGAAAGTCACTTCCTTATTTCTCTGCTTCTATGCCCCCCTTCCAGAGAGGACTTCTGACCACCTTCATCTAAACAACCACCCTCTCCCACTTACCCTGCTCAATTGTTCCTCGTTGCAATTAGCACCCTTCACATTTACAAATTTACTTGTTTATTGTCTGTCTTCGCCCCCTAAAATGCAGTCTCCATGAAAGCAGAGAATATGTCAGATTTTTCTCTCTTCTGTAACCTCAGTGCTTACTTCAGGGTACAAAGTAAGCACTTGGTAAATATTTTGTTGAGTGAGTGAATGAATGAATGAATGAACGAATGAGACCTCAATTGATGTAGAAGACAGTATCTTCAGCAGCCTGCCTTCACCAAAGACAACTGATTTAAAATATTTTCGCTTCCTTGTGAGCCCAGAGCAAACTGTGACAAGCCCTTTGTAGACCTACATGGCCTCAAGTATTGCAATCTATTCAAGCTTCTTTCGGGTGAGCTATTTCTCAATCGATCTCCCCAGGACTCAGAGGCAACTTAGCCAAGCCAAGGACAGTGGCCTAGGAGAGGATGGGGAAGTGGCTAGAGGCACATCAATAGTCTGCAAGGGCTCTCATACAATGCACATCCACGCCAGCATCCCAGCTGTCCCTTCCCTAGCTTCCACAACCAGACGGACCTGACCCCTGGGGACAAAGCTAACTTGGTCAAAGAACAGAAGTTCCAGGGTGAAGCCAGGGGGGAAGAGGGGCTGTACCCCTCCTGTCACAAATGGCCTTAGTCAGGAGCAAGTGCTTGGGCACCAGTGGGGACGCTCCAAGTTTCGGGGGCTCAGAAGAGCTATACTGCAGGTGAGATGGTCATCCCTTTGGCGGAGAGAACAATAAGGTGGGATCAAATTTTGGAAACTGTCTTCCATTTCTAAAGCACTTGCAGTTTCCAAGTGCTTCCACATGTTCTAGTATAGACAGAGCACAGTTGTAAGATCAGGAATTGAGGCTCTGAGAGGTCACAGAATTGCCTAAGGTCAAACTCAGTAGTACAGAGACAGGAGACCCTTTCTTTACTCCGCCATTTCCTGGCTGCAAAGCCCTTGACTGTTTTTTTTTTTAAGATTCAATGTACACATCTATACAATCAGCCAATCAACAAGCTGACTGAGCAGTGTCTTCCACAAGCCAATGTGTTAAGGATGCATCCTACCCTCAGTTCTGAGTATGAGGTGGCCAGACAGCCCAGTCAAGTTCATTTTGTTTTCCCTTCTATGTTTGTGCTCTGTCTCCCTATGTCCTAAATCCTCTTGTTTCTGAAGCTCGGAAAGAAGAAAGTCTCCTTCCCGGGCTACCTGAGCAGTTACAGGCAGCCCGCATTCCTCTCTTCTCCGCCACATCTGATGACAGTACCCTCCCATCAGTCACTGGCCACAATGGACAACGGAGCCATTGAGACAGCAGAGCCCACATTCTGAGCAGGGGGGATTTGGAGTCAACCTCATTTTCCAAAGTTACGTGGGCAGAAAGCTCCAGCTGTGTAATGGGTCTATCAACCATCGATTCCACCTCCCTGGGGAGCCCCTTCCCACAGTTTCCCACAGTTAGCTGTCCCCTCGTGGAGACAAGGAGATAAAGACTCAGGGAAGTTAAGTAAATGACCCAACGTTTCCTAATCCCAAGGCCATGTCCATTCAATGACCACAGTCTGCCTCTGAAAATAAGTGACTCCAGCATTAGAATATATGACACATTGTGCTTCTCAAGAAGAGCCTCAGTAATATTTCTAGTCCTATATGCTCCTGCAGAACCTTGCCACTTCCCCCACCAGAAGGTAGAGTCTATTTCTGCCCCCCCTGCCCCCTGCCACCTTGAACCCAGGCAGAATTGTGTGCCTGTCTTGACCAAAGGAATGCAACAGAGGTGAAGCTATGTCATGGAAGGCGATTATTCTGCCTGACTCTCTCTCTCTCTCTCTCTCTCTCTCTCTCTCTCTGTATCTGTATCTCTCTGTATCTGTCCGTCTGTCTGTCTGTATCTCCTTCCCCCTTATTTGGAAATTAGCCCTTGAAACCCAGCCTCCAGGTTGTAAGGAAGCCCAGGACCTATGGAGAAGCCAGGTATAGGTATTCCAGACAGCAGTCTCAGCTAAGGTCTCAGACTGAAGTCAGCAGCAACCATCAGTTGTGTGAGTAAATGAGCCTTCCAAGGATCCCAGCCAAGGCCCCAGACATGATGGAGTAGAGGCACCTCCCCACCCCTTCCGTGCTCCAAATTCCTTACAACAGCATCCATGATCACAAAAACCCATTGTTGGTGCCACTGAGTTTTAGGATGGTTTGTTATAGAGCTTTAAAGAAATTAATTTCAGAAAAACCCGACAACTCAGCCCCACATAGTCAAGAGGATCCACCACTACATCTCCTGGCAATGGTGCCAATGTTTTTGACCCCTTTGTTGAGTCCACACATACAGCTCTTACTGAACTGTGGGCTAGTGCTCTCTGAGCACACCTGACTCAAAAGGAGAATAGCAAGTAACACTGGTTCGGGTTTTCATGCCGTAAGCAACCCCTGCTCTTGGAGCTCCAGGGGAGCCCATAGTCACTTCAAGTTAAAGCCAGCCTAAGACCTGGTTCCCCTACATGTAGCTGCAACTGGGAAATCACATGCATAACCTTAATGCTCAGAAGAACATGGAATTGAGTCATACCCAGCAACAACAGACAGAGAAGACATGACTCACGGGATCTGAAACAGATGCCTGATGCTTCTCCCAGGAAGAGGGATCTGAGCTCACCTCTGTCTTGCACTCAGGGTCCTTGGCCTGCCTCCCGGGCATCAGCCTCATGGCTGAAGACAAGCTGCCACTCCACGAGGAGACCTTGCTCGGATGTCCCACATTCGAGCGGCTGGCCAGCGACTTCTTCTCAGATGCTAAGAACAGGGAAGCAAAAACTGTCAGAGGTGAAGTTGAAAGGAGGATACACACTATTTTGCAACTGGCTTGGCTTTCAAAGGGCCATCCAGGGTCACAAGCCTCTTGCACCTCCTCCAGTAAGGAAAACAGCCCAGGCTACAAGCTTACACTGCCGTCTTCTGACTAAGAAATTCAGTGTGGGTTTCAGGGTCACCAGACCTGGCTTAGACCCCTAGCTCCCCTGACTCAAAGTGAGATGCTGGACAAGTTAGTTAAGTCCTTGAGCCTCAGTGTCCTCATCCTCCAAACTGGGAATAATAGCGTCTAACCTCATTCTGGTGTCATGAAGAGTAATAAGATTATGTGTTTCAAACACAAGCCATCAAACATAGAGAATTTTCTGTATATGATTGTTGGCAACAAGAGAGCCATTTGTAAGCATGGGGTGCATCTCACCATTTTATTCACTACATGTGCATGGGGATATACGTCCTATTTTATTAACCTTTTCCCTGAAATGAAATCTGACACTTTGACCTCAAACTACACATGTATATACATAGGCATGTACATACATACGCATTTTCCAGGGTTAATTTGGAAAGCTGATAAATAAAAGTTCTATACCGCCGGGCAGTCTGGGATGACACACATGGAAGTAACTAACTCCTGAGTCACTGTCAATGTTGTGATGCTAGAAGACTTCAAACAAGTACGTGAGCCATAATTCGAGAGCAATGACCACTTTAAAAACAAAATTGAGGGGTGACTGGCTGGCTCAGTCGGTAGAACATGTGACTCTCGATCTTGGGGTTGTGAGCTCAAGCCCCACACTGGGTATAGAGATTACTTAAAAATAAAATATTTTAAACAATTAAAAAAATAAAAACAAAATTAAAACATCATTCCTGCAGGTGCAATAACTCATATGAGGGGGGAAATGCTGAATCACTGAAAGAATGCAAGGGTCATTAATATCTTAGGGATGAAAACTCTCACTTGAAACATGAAGAACCTGGGAATCCAGGTCACTGCGTGATTTGGTGGCAAGGTTTCAAAGCTGGTAGGTGAATATCAGGACAGGACCTAGAATCCTAAGCTCTAGGCTAGACATGGTAGACAGAGCTAGACATCTAGCTCTGACATGGCACACTCTCTAAGAGATTACTAGAATCTGCTTGCACCTCTGGCCTTCCTTTCACCCAAGATGCAAAGCAACTTTCATTCTTCACACTCAAAGATGCATGAGGTTTCAGTAATCCCCACCAAAGGGATGAGAGAGGAGGTCTGGGTGGAAAAGGCTCTGGGCCCTGAGTGGAACTTTGGGCAAATCCACATCTATGAGACTCAGCAGTTCTGTTCCCTGGAGCCAAGTGGACAGAGACCTAAGTAATGCTGCCAGGCCTTGAGCATCATCTCCTCCCAGAGTGGGGTAATCTCTTCAATCTTCACTTCTCTGTCTCCAGGTTTCACAGAGAGATCAATCTTGAAGGTGTCCTCCAGCTCCTGCCGCCTCTGTGCCACGAGCTGCTGCCACAGGGTCCGCACTGTCTTTTGGATGTTGTGCTGGACTAACAGAGAGAGTATATCACACAATCAGGATGGCCTCAGTGCCTGTCCCAGCAAAGGCCAGAGATGATGTATCATGGCTGCTTTTATTGCATCTTTCTTGAATATCACTCAAGCTTTGCAACTTCCAGCCAGAAAGCAGTCAGTATGTAGACAATGCTACCAACATCCATGTGGGCTGGCCTTTCCCCCACCTCTAACTGCCCACCACCAGGTCCTGTCTGCCTCGTATGTTCAGAGCTGGGAGACACGATTGATGGGCACAAGAAATCTTTCTCCCATCCCCAAGTTTCATTAAATACCAACGGGAAAAATACTTATGTGAGCTCTAGGTAACCAAATACCACCCCCAACAGCTCCTTCCAATGTACCTTCTATGTTGAGCCCTCAAAGGAATGGACACCAAACCCAAGACTGTGCCTAGGGACCTAGGACCCAAGCCAGTCCTCTTTCCTGGCACTGCATCATGTTTCCCACTGCCCACCAATCTCAATGCCCTGGATTTGCCCAGATATGAGCCAATCTACCAGGCCAGTTCTACCTTCTATGCCCCATAATTATAATACCCTGAACATTGCCTAAACACCCTTGGATCTTGAACCACTGAATCACTCCTCTAGTACCAGCCCCTACAGTCTATTTTTTCCACCTTAGAAGGATGGACATTGCTCAGTCCACTCTTCTAGCTAGACCAAAATACAAATATTTATGTTGTAATTAACAGTGCGCCAGAGTATATTTTCAACTCATGAGAGTTTTAAGCACTGGATTTGGGCACCTATGTGACCAAAAAACAGAGGCCCTTGTGCCTACTATCTGGTATCACAATGTGAGTGGCACAGTCAACAAACCAAAATGGTGAAAGAAAGTCTGCTGAAGCTTCTTAGATCAAAACAGAGCAAGAGCTAGGGGCGCCTAGGTGGCTCCGTTGGTTAAGTGTCCGACTTCAGCTCAGGTCATGATCTCACAGTTCATGAGTTCCAGCCTCACATCAGGCTCTCACACAGAGACCACTTTGGATCCTCTGCCTCACTCTCTCTCAAAAATGAATAAACATTTGGGGTCCCGGGGTGGCTCAGTTGGTTAAGCGTCCGACTCTTGGTTTCAGTTCAGGTCATGATCTCACGTTCAAGGAGTTCGGGAAGCCTCCATTGGCCTCCTTAATGGCAGTGGGTGGAAAGCTCATTTTGGATTATTCTCGTCTTCTCTCTCTCTCTGCTCCTCCCCTGATCACACTCTCTCTGTCTCTCAGTAAATACTTGACACTAATTAAAAAAATAAAAAAGTGCCAGATGTACATTTTTTGAGCAATTTCTTTTTTAAATTTATTTTCTTTTAAAAAAATTTTTTTAAACGTTTATTTATTTTTGAGACAGAGAGAGACAGAGCATGAATGGGGGAGAGTCAGAGAGAGAGGGAGGCACAGAATCCGAAACAGGTTCCAGGCTCTGAGCGTCACAGCAGCAGGTTCTATCACCGAATCCACGACCCAGAAGATCATGACCTGAGCTGAAGTCAGAGGCTTAACTGATTGAGCCACCCAGGCACCCCTCTTTTTTAAATTTATTTTCAAGTTAGCTAACATACAATGTAGTCTTGGCTTCAGTAGATTCCTGTGACTCATTGCTTACATACAACACCAAGTCCTTATCCCAACAAGTGCCCTCCTCAATGACCATCACCCACTTTCCCCACCCCACTAACCCTCAGTTTGTTCTCTGTATTTAAGAGTCTCTTATGGTTTGCCTCCCTCTCTGCTTTTATCTTATTTTCCCTTTCCTTCCTCTATGGTCCTCTGTTAAATTTCTCAAATTCCACATATGGAATTTGATGGGTAAAAATCATATATCTGTCTTTCTCTGACTGACTTATTTCACTTAGCATAATACCCTCCAGTTCCATTCACATTGTTGCAAATGGCCAGATTTCATTTAAAAAGAGCAATTTCTAAACACATGGATCTGGCTGCTACTTTTTTTTTTTTTTTTTACAAATTGCCAACCACCTTTACTTGATTTGATGTAAGCAAATTTAAAAAATGAACTCAATCAAGCCAAAAATCTCATAGAAATAATGAGTTTATTGACTCCATTTTCTAGAGAAGAAAGTTGAGAGAGAGCTTGGTAAAGGACTGAACAAGAGGAGGTGACATTCCAGTTCCCATATCTAGCGATCCAAAGGAAAATTCAAGAGACCACCTGAGAAGTGAAATCAACTTATGGTGAAATCCCTAGAATGTTAGTAAGTCACCAAGTTCTTAGTCTGACCAAGTCTCACAAAGCTGAAGAATGAAATCCAGAAGTTAGCACCACTCACCCACTCTCCCAAAAATAAACAACAAACAACATGTACCATCATTCAAACTTGGGAAGTCTTCCTCTCCTTTTTCTCTTACTTCTTCATTTGGAGAAAGAAAGACTTGATGATAAGGAGTCATTCTAGGCTTGGGTTCCAGTCCAAATCCTTCTGGATAACTAGGAGACAAGAGATTTTTCACTATAAACTCCAGTTTCTTTAAGATCATTCCATTGTTCTGTATTACAAATAATCATCCTCTAAACTCAATACATATCAATTGGAAAAACTTGTCTAATCAAGTTAAAGCAAATACGTCATGGCAATTTCTGTGACAGATATTATACAATAGCATTCTGGAAAGTAGGAAAACTTCTTTTTTTTATTCTTGTTTTATTAAATCTAATCCAGGCTCCCAGCAGGCCTCCTGAACTCTCTCCTGGTTTCCCAACCATCAGGACTGGTCATTTGTTTTTGTAGACTCCCAAAGTATTGACCTCTACCTTTGTTTGGCCCTGATCTCATCCCACTTGGAAGGGGCCAGGCAAGCTTCATGGGCCTGTGACCTGTGCAGTTGTACAGGGTCCACACTCAGAAAGGCCCCATGCTTGGACTCTGCTGTCCCTGTCTTGAAATTCTTAGTAAATTTTGAACAACATATCTGCATTTTTTGCAGGATCCTGCACATCACGTAGCTGGTTCTAAGTGCAGGCATAGGGGTTTACATATTAGGTTTCCCATGAACCGTTTGCTCTGGGGCCCCTTCAATCATGTTAATGTCCACATGCCTTCTTCTCTGGGCCCCTTCAATCAACCAAGCAGAATAGACACTCAGCACATGTTTGTGGATTGAACCAAAAACGACAAACAAGGAAATGAAAATATACCATTATATGAGAATATCCATTCTTAAAATTTCTAGGATAAAGTCCCTTTAGATTTTAAGGCCATTTAGCTACCCAGAGGGATCTGAGGAAGGTGGAAATCCAAACATACACATAGAGTGGCATCTGCCGTTCTTACCTATGCTTCCAATATGGATAGACTTAATTCTTAAAAATTTTTTTTTTCAACGTTTATTTATTTTTGGGACAGAGAGAGACAGAGCATGAACAGGGGAGGGGCAGAGAGAGAGGGAGACACAGAATCAGAAACAGGCTCCAGGCTCTGAGCCGTCAGCCCAGAGCCCGACGCGGGGCTCGAACTCACGGACCGCGAGATCGTGACCTGGCTGAAGTCGGACGCTCAACCGACTGCGCCACCCAGGCGCCCCATGGATAGACTTAATTCTTAAAATACAAACAAGAGAGAAGACCCTCCCAATTTAAGCTACCAAAAATGGGTTCTTTTATTTCACACAAATAAAATAGCAAATGCCTCCTCTGGGCTAGGAGTGTTTTGCAGTGATTCCCAGGGAGTTTTAAGACAAGTCAAGTCTAGAGTTTTGTAACATCCAATAGTCAATTTGACAGAATTTTTGGATTTTTTTTCAAGTAGTAAGACATAATAGGTACTGGTATAAAAACAACAACAACACAAAGACAAGAGCAAAGTGTAATCTCCCATAGCCCACCTTTCCTCTACGCTCAACATGGCTCTATTAGTAACAGCATTTATGGGGCAACTGGGTGGCTTAGTTGGTTAAGCTAGATTTCGGCTCAGGTCTTGATCTCACGGTCTGTGGGTTCAAGCCCCGCATTGAGCTTTGTGTGCTGACAGCCTACTTGAGATTCTCTTTTTCAAAAGTAAATAAACATTTTTTAAAAAGAGAGAGCATTTGTAAGCATATAATCCCAAGGCACTGCTGATACAGAATATTCACACATGAAAAAAAAAGCAAGTGCATATACACAGAAAAATCTAATATATATCAAACTTCGGACTTCAAGAAAAGGATTTAACTAAACTTATTTCAATTTCTTTTTATTAGTATTTCCTATACAAGTGTGCTTATGGTTATCATTTTATATCACAAATTGTGTGTGTGTGTAATTTTTTCTGTAAGAAAATTATGCCCGCCTTGCATGATACAATTTATTATATATTTTTCCATTCTAAGAGTGCATTTATCAAATGTTAATATTTCTAAAATCTGGCTGCATCATAAAATCAATGTGTATATTCAATGTCGAGCTTTCTGCCCCTAAAATGAAATCAATGAGATATCTTACAACCTGAGAATTGTGGAAAAGGGGTAAATTATTAATCCATGATGATTCTTGCTGCTCAGTCACATGGACAGATTATCAAACACTGCCCATAATTTGGACAACCAGATAACCGATACATATACCATTTGTATTGGCCCCGATCAAGTGTCCCTCTAAAGCTTTCTTCTCTGCATTGACCACCAGTAGGCAGGAAACAAGTAAGCAGTCCTTACCTTCTCTCATTGAGCAGCAAAAAACAATACATGAGACACAGGAGGAAGCTGGTGTTGGAATTATAGGTGGCAAAGATAATGTCCCAGTGTTCCTGTAGGAAGCCCAAGATGCTGAGAAGACTAAGGCATTCGGAGAGCGATTGCTGGGGCTTGGACAGGCAGTAAAGAATGACTTTATTTAAACTGCTGTACAAAGCACTGATGATAGCATCCCTTGGAGAAGAGGCATTCTCGATGACCTGTGTCATAAAATAAACACACATACACACACGCATACTTGTGAACACTTTGTGAGTTTAAATGCTAACCCAGTTAACTGAGAAAATGATACAATCTTAGAATCTCTTTTGGATTTCAAAAAGTTGACATGATCTGAAATTCAAACAGGGCTACTTTCCTCTACCTCTGAGCTTCTATTTAAGTGAATGATCACTAAAGTAAATTCAAAAACACAGATTTATCAAAAACTTGTGCTGAAAAGAAATTTTAAAAATATAAAAATTAAAATTAAAAATTAAAAAGTTAAAAAAAAATAAAAGAAATGAAAAGCTTACCACCATCGTATTATAAAAAATAGATGGGAACCAGAAATTTCTGAAATACTGGTAACATGGTTGACATTCAGTGTATGAGAACATGCTATTTATAGTGTCTAATTTTTAAAATATATTATTAACTATTAATAGTATTTATATAGAGAGTGTTTACAATATTCCCAGGATCATGCTAAGCATTTTTGCATCCATGAACATGAACTGTTCATTTAAACATCATAATAAAATGAAGTGAGCATTAAGATTATCCTACTTCAGGGATAAGGAGGCTGAGGGTCAGAGAGCTTAAGTGGTCAGCAAGGGTCAAACCCACATCAGACATTGAGTCGTTCTCTTAACCACTGTATCATGTAACAGAGATGGGAGTCCAACAAATTGTAGTACATGAGAAACTTAGAGGGGGAAGGCAGAAGGTCCTGATCTGTAGCCTTAACACTGATTGGTCCATCCATCTGTTTGGTTTCCTTGCTTCATTGTAACTAACAAATAAAAAGTCCTGGAGATCTAATGCACAGCATAGTGATTATAGACAATAATACTGTCTTATAAACTTTAAAGGTGCTAAGAGACCAGATCTTAATTGTTCCCACCACAAAAACGAAATGATAATTACGTGACTTGATAGAGGTGTTAGCTAACACTATGGTGGTAATCCTATTGCGATATATAAATGTATCAAATCAACATTAAACTTATATTCTGTTATATGGTAATTATATCTCAATAGGAACAAATCAGAAAGTTTTAAAAACAAAAGACTCCATAGCCAAAAACTATGTGCAAAGTGTTTCAGTCTACGAGAGAGATCATTCGTTAACTATAGATTGCTCTCTTAGAATTACATCGGTAATGTAAGAATTTATACTAGTGAATTTAAGTTTTATTTAAATCTGCTGGAATTTGGGATTTATGTTTTTATCATCATCCTGTCCTGCTCCTCAGATGGGTCACATCTGTCAACCTGAGGTTGAGGTTTGTGAGAGTCACAGGCAGTGAGCAGGAGAGAAGGATGACGGATGTGTGAGGAGCTTAGTCTGGCCTGGAACCCCCTGAAGGCACATCAGTCCCAGTGGGCACCCACTCTGAGTGCCAGTGGGCACCCACTCCCTTTACACTGGGGAGCTACTATTCATTGGATGTTTGCATCCCCCCAGAACACATATATTGAAACCCCAGGTCAGGTCTCTGGGAGGTAAGTAGGTCATGAGGGTGGAACCCTCATGGTGGGATTAGTGCCCTTATAAGAAAAGACAAGAAAGAGCTTGCTTCCTCTCTTTCTCCAGCCCATGAGGATACAGGCAGAAGATGGCCATCTGCAAACCAGGAAGAGAGCTCTCCCCAGACACCAGATCTGCTGGCGCCTTGACCTTGGACTTCCCAACCTCTAGTACTGTGAGAAAGGATGTCTTTTGTTCAGCTGCCCAGCCCATAATGTTGTCAAAGTGGCCTGAGCCAAGTAAGACGGGACCTCAGTGGCTTCCCTCGTTTCTCAACACAACGTCCCAACAATCTGATTCTAATCCCCTCAGAGACGACAAGGGATATCTCTCCCATCCTGGGGTTTTTCTTGAGAAAGCATCTGAATGCATTCTGTTCGGGCTGGCCCAGAAATGTGCATCAGTCAGAATGACTATTGCCCTAGGAAATGTGCCAAGGCCCAGTCCTGGGGTCTGGGGTTGACTGCAGAGACAGAGGTGTTGGGGACACTGACGTCACCCTCTCTACAAAGCATGAATCCCCCTGGGTTCTGCTGCAGAGGACATGCCAAGAATGACTGGCAGGAGTTTCTGGAGGCAGATTTCAGCTTTCCAGCATTCACTGGTGCCCCACTGGCTGGGACTGCCTCACACCATCATGAGCTCCTCAGACAGGGAGGGCTCAAAAAAAGACTGAATGACCACTTGTCAGGAAAGGTTCCCAGAATGTGAGGTGAGGACAAAGTAAAGGGTTCAACTCTAGAATTTTGAGAGTGTGATTCTGTGTGTGTGCACACATGTACAATAAAGAACGCGTGCACATGTACACACACATGCTTACGTCTAAAGGTGTATGTATAGGCACGCATTTGCACATGTGGGTGTGTATGTAGATCCATCTGGGGAGGGAAGGAGAGCACAGCGGGAATAATAGGGCTAGGAAAAAGTACTCTTGTGGCAATTCAGGAAAACCCACATGTGACCCATGGAGGTGCATATTAAGAATGAAATGAAATAAGTCTTTTGGAAATAAAGAGCTTTTTGGACCTTTGTTGCTCAGGTGCCAGCACAGGGGGCTGCAGCTCCCAGTCACTGAGATGGATCTCAGGTGGCCTGAGGTTAAGAGCCCTGCAGGATACTCGACATCCACCCGGTGCTACCTAGGCCATCAAGGTCCTCTTTCCTCTCACCCATCATGGAATCTATTTCCAGGAAGGACAGCAGGGCCAACTGGACCGACCAGATAGCAGCCAACAGTGAGTCACTTGGTGGGTCAGTGGGAGTTTCTCCCCCACCATGGCCAGCCCAGGGTTCTTACCAACATGATGTGGTCTATGACGAAAAGAAGAATGTGTCTGGGGTCAGCTGAGAACATCCCACTGTATAGTTTCTCCACCAGCTTCTGGGTGAAGTAGGAGATGCTTGCGAGTGAAGGAGTCAAAGCAGCTTCTGCATTCGGCTGAGGCTCTTTACTGCCTGGGAGTGGGGGTGGGAGGACACAGACCAGGTCTGAGAAATCATCAGACTTCAAATGGTCTTCTCTCCACGACAGTCTTCAAGCCCCTCACGGTAACCAACCACATCTCACTCACCTCTGTATACCCCATTGTAACCTTCTGTATACCCTGTTGCTGGAAAATGGGGTCTTACACACAGTAGGTGCCCGATGTACACACATTTTTTTTCTCAAAAAAAAAAAATAGGTCTTTAACAATGTAGTCAGTCATATAAACCAAGTGGGGAGAAGGCAGACGAGGAGCAGCATTTCTTCCAGTAGGCATTTGGGGGGAGGGGGAGGAGCATTTAAGTCATATGGTAAATGGGAAGGCTGTCATGGTGACCCGAGGCCCTGTTGGGACAGAGGATAAAGGGACAGAGGATAAAGCTGCCACGTTGAACTGTCTGTGCTCACCATCATGGCAGGCACTGTGCTCAGATGGGGATGCGATGGTCTCAGCTAATTCTTATAACGACCCCCTGAGTTAGCCACAACTGCCATCCTCACTCACAGCTTCAGGCACCTGCCCTGAGTCACATCGCCATCTAGTGACAGAGCCAAGAGCAGAAGTGGGAATAGCAAGCTTACGCTTTTCACTGCTCTACCTTACTGCCCTTCCCCAAGAAAGACCAAAAGTCAGGGTTGTGGGGCAAGGAAGAGTCCAGAAGATAAGTAAGCCATGTCACTAAGGATTCCATGGCTCAGAAACCACAGAGAAGACTTTTGTTTAATCTTGTTGGGAAGGTACAGCTTCTCTGGAACTAAGTATTCTGAAGGAAGCTTCAGTCTGAACTTCTTAGGGGCAATGGCAGTGTCTTCATCCAGGTTCGTCCATTTAAGAAACACTTGCTGTGCCCAGTCTTGGGTGCAGAGAGCAAGATGCTGAGCAGAAGAATGTTAAATTCCAGTCGACATTTTGACTTCCCTCATGGGAAGAGGCCAATCCTACTGAAGCCAGAGGAGAACTGATTTTAGCTCAGAGGCCTTCTGCCTCTGAGTGGCCCAGTGATGGCAGGGGTGTCATGGAGAGTGGAAAGCATGCCTCCCCTGGGGCCTCGAGGCAGCTTTTGGGAGGTCTTATCACAGAGTCATGGAGGGGCTGACGTGCAGGTGGAAGACGTCTTCCCATGGCTCCTAAGAAACACTGCAGCATTGTGACCCGGAGGCTAGGTCAGTAGCTGGTGGGCACACTGGCTTTCCTGCTCAGCTTCCAGAAGCTTTGTGTCATAAAGGAGGAGAAAGTCACCCCCACTCACCTCTGAGCATGGGCATGTTGCCTCCACTCATCGTGTGAAATATTTCCATGGTGGAAAGCAGGACCTCAGATTGGAAATCCCGTTTCTGTTGGCTGGTGGCATTGTCTGGAGAAGCCTGGAAGCATACTGGGGACTGAGAGAGTGGCCACACGACCATCATGTCCACTTAGTGCTCACCGGCTCATATGCTAATACTATATCTGCTGGGAGTGTAGGCTGCAGAGAGCTCACAACTATCCTTCTCCAGGGCACTGCCCTCTGCTGATGAAATTGCCTCACCGGTGAGGTGATGCCCCCTTGCTGGATGGAGGAAGCAAGTTGTGGAACACCCAGAGGCAATGACTACCAGGCAGATGCCTCAAGGTGAGGCCAACTCTGGGACGCACATAGCACACCTGTGTTCCCCATGGGACCAGGCTGTGGCTGAGACCATTTCTTAGCTAGCTTCTCCCCCATCTCCTTCTGCATTCCTTCCCTGCTTCCCCGGAAAGCAGAGCCCCCGGTAAGTCACTTCCCCAAAATCCCTGCTTCAGGTTCCTTCTGGGAACCTGGCTAAAATCTGCCCTCTTCCATCTATTCACATGCTGCTTGGTGAGTTCCCTGCTGTGCAAAGGGTCTATGGTTCCCACCATATCACTGCTGTCCCAGAAAATGTTCTCAACCACCAGCCAAGGAGGCTCACCGACAGACCTAGGTGAGCTCTCAAAAGACATCAGCTCTCAGGTCTCCTTGGGCATACCCTGCCCTTGTGGTGCCCACGCCCTCCCAGACCTGTTCCCACAGCACGTGGCCCAACAACACCCTTTCCAACTCACCTCCAGGAGCACTTCCAATGGCAGCCACTGCTTGGGATTGGAGGCCACCAGCAAGAGCTCCCTCAAGAGCAGCTGCGTGAAATCCCTCAGCTGCTTCCGGGCGGGATGTGACTTGGCAGGAGCCTGTAGGCCCTCTGCAATGCTGTCGCCTTCAGTCGCAACCCCGGGGTTGCTGGCGTTCTGGGCAGGCTGAGTCATGGGCTCCTCAAAGACAAGAGAATCCCAGCATGAGCAGCCCGCCCCGCCTCAAAGTGCTTTCACATTCACCTCTGAGGTGTGCACAGGTGGGATTCTTGTTAAACCCATTAACACATAAGGAAATCAAGGCTCTGAGGAGGAAAGAGACTTTTCCAGAGTCCCACTGCTTATGAGGTGGCGGGCTATGGTCTCTGGACACGAGATAGGTGGGAGCCATGGAAAGAACCAGAGCATGGAGCAAGAGAGGCCTGCAGTGGTAAGCAATGAAGCCCAGGGTGTGTCCTGGGCAGGCCACTCCCCTCCTCAGAGCCACAGCTCACCATCAGCCACGTGGCAATGATGAAAAGGACCCACAAAGACATGTGAAGATACAATGAGAGAACAGCACATATGACAAGGCCTGGCCCCATGAACTATGGTCAAGAAAGCCTGTTCCCACCTCCTGGTGGAGACCTCACTCACCTTTACTGCCTGCCAGGCTCGGCTGATGTCAACAGACAGGACCCTCAGGTGAGAGAAACAGGACTTCCTCAAGTCCTGGCATCCAAGTCCCTGAAGCACCTTGGCCTTCACTTTCTCATTTTTATGTTTATAAAAATATTGGGAGATCAATGAGGCAGGGGTCATCGGCTCAGATGCGTCCAGGAAGACATGGGGATGCTGGGAGGCCAAATGACACATCCAAGGACATACGGCTGGGGGCCTCTGACTCCTGGCCCATGAACTTTTCATGCACATTCATCTGTCAGCACCTCCCTTTGCTCATTCATAAAATTAACACAGCCATTCTTAATTAAGCCATAAAATGAATTTAATGGCACCTAGGGAGGTGGTGACTGCATTAATTAGCTCCATGCGGCCTTGACTGGAAAGATGCCATATATATTCACAGCATATCAAAGCTTTGTGGCCACCAGCCTTCTGCGTGAAGAGGGCTTGTCACACTTTCTGTACAACAAAGGCCTTTTGAAGCTGACTTGGAGCTGGGACAAGGCTAGGAGGTGTGGGGATAAGTGCTCTGACACTGGAGCCAGGAGCCCCAAGACAGGGTCTGGCTCATCTGCAGTCACTGGGGAGGTGACTTTGGGCCAGGCTTGCCCCCAGGCAGGAACTGTTGAGTATGAGGAGGAAGAGCCCCACGTCAGAGTGTGCTCCAGAGCTGCGGGCAGGCGGCCAGCTGGAACCCCGACTTAGCAGGCAGATGGCAAGCCTGGCCTGTGGGTGTAGGAGCTGAGGTGGGGACCTGGGCCGAGAATGTCAGGCCGTGGACTTTGGGGTCCCGGCCACCTCCAGAGGCCCCAGTCTGGGGGGTTGGGGAGGGATGGTCTGTAGGACTGTCCTTCCTCCCTGCCTGGCCTAGGGGCACCTGGCTTCTGTCCCATCCACCACCTCTCCAGGGCTGTCCATAGTGACTTCCTTTGCTCTTTATTGCATCTTTTTTAGCATTTACTTTCCCCATATGTTCCTTTAGTTGGTATTAGCCCACCAAACCATTTTATCTTCTTGCAAATCTTCTAATCTTTGTATTTAGTTTTTTCATTAAAGCTACTCAAACTTTATTTGGCCATTGAATTGTATTTTAAACTGACTGATGCAAAGGACATGAGCCTTGGGGTGAGAGAGTGAGGTTTCAATCTTGGCTCTGTCACTCGTGACTCATGTAAACTATAGCCAGTTTCATTCTCTCAACTGTTTTGTGAGATGGGTCTTACGGTTCCCACTAAACACAGCAGAAACTGGCCAGTCCCGCTCGGCCTCTCTGGATCTCACTCTCCTCTTACAGACACCACCTGCCCAGGGTGCTAGTACAGTTAACCCAAGCACCAGGCTCAGGACTGCTGCAGGTGCTCAGTAGATGCTGTCTGTCACCATGAACACACTTCTAGAAAAGATTAACTGAAAGAGCACTTTCGTTCATTCATTTGGTTGTTGAGCAAATAATTATGGGGCAAATATTACACACCCACACGGCACATGGCATGGCTTCTAAACCTCCCACTTATGCTTCTAAACCTTCTAAACCTTCCACGGCATGCTTTCTAACATGTTTCTTTAGCTATGGCTATGGATTCGGAGACAGGCGTCATAGTTCACCTTCCCTGCGGGGCGGTCTCAGGTTCCTACTGCACTGTGGTAGGGGCAATGAGGGGAGGTCTGTCTGCCCTTCCTCTCCTGCCCCTGCCTTCCCTTCACAGTCCTTACCTGCTCCTCTCAGCTCCTAGATGCTCCGAGCCCATTGGGCTCCCTTGGCCTGCTGGGCCCCTCTTCCTGTGGCCTACATGCACACCATGTTCTCAGGACCCAGTCGGCCCCCTGCCCTTCCAACATCAGCTTGTCTGGCTCTAAGCTGAGCCCTCAGCAAACCCTCTGACTGCACGGAGTCCTGAGTCGTGGACTGCAAACAGGATGAGGGTCCTGAGACCAGAAGACGGGACATTCCTGTTCCCCGTCCCCTGGCTGGTGCATAGGCCACTGGCCTCCTGGGATGTAACTTGTTGTTTCACCTTAGCAGTGGGGATATTCCATATAGAACTGGATTCCGTCTACCTCAAATTTCTCATTACGGAGACTCCTGACAACTCAAAAAATTACTGAATCTCAGAACTCAGAACTCAAGCTGCATCTCAGCCAAGAAAAGGAAAATTACCCAAGTTGTTTACTTAATGTTTCAGGCAAGTGGCCTTAAAATATATTTTAACTTGGGGTGGAGGTAGGGAGGAATTTTGCCCTTCACCCTTGAAGCATGATGACACTCACCCCTGCTCTCACTGGGCAGGGCAGTGGTGTGTCCTACCTTGTGGGTTCCCAGAGGGAAGGTGACAGCAGCCAACGTCTGGAGGAACTCCGGGGCCCGCCAGGAAGGGTCCTGGGGGTAGGTGCTGTGCACAAGGCCAAGGAAGTGCAGCACGCTGGCAGGGAAGGTCTGTTCCCAGGCATCATCTCCAGAGCCTGCTGAGGGCTGAAGACATACTTCATAAGAGGCGATGCATGGGAGCATGACTATGGCTGCAGGGGAGCCAGAGGATTTGAAATCTAGGCATTTCTGAGACTTTCAACAAGACGCCTAATTGCAAGACACCTAAGTCAATGGATTAGCGAGGGATACCGGTCTTCAGCTGGGGAAGGGTTTAACACGTGTAGACATTGTTCCAAAGGCTTCACACACATTCCTCTTCTCCCCTCATAGCAACCCTCTGAAGTAAGTTCTACATCTACTTCTATTTTACAGATGGGAAGACAGAGGCACAGAGCGGTTAAGTAGCTTGCCAAAGGTCACCCGACAGGTAAGGGACAGAGCCAGGAATTGAACCCAGGCAATCTGGCTACAAAGTCTGGCTGTCTTCTTTATACTACTTGTATGTGATTAGACACGGCCTCTGTGTTCAAGGAACTTGCCAGTAAGAGTCAACTCCAGCCTTCCACAGCCCAGTGCTAATACTTCCAGCTGTAGACCCTACCCTGGCTAATATCGGTACAAACCTTGTCTGAGGTTGGCAGGTCTTGAGGAGCCCCTTCCCCACCAGCCAGGGGTCTGGAATGGACCATGTTACACTGAACTGATAACCAGTATCCCGAGGGGATCTGGGCACCTGTTTGCCAGCACACCAGAACTTGGCCTTGGCCATATGGTCGAGCCTCCATCTTGGCTGCACACAAGTGCCACACTGAAGGCCAGTTCCCTTGAGCAGTCATGACCAGTCACTTTGTCTGGAGACTGACTCCAGCCACAGTATGTCCAGTGGCTGCCTGAGGTCCTGCTATATCCTGAATGGATAGTCTGGAAATTGAAAATTCACTAACCTTAATATTAGAGTCACCCAACAATGGCGCCACGCCAACAACTAGACTGAATTGGACTCAGCCTCCTCCTACAGATGTTATAGGTGGATGTCAGGTTCCTCAGCCCTAGCCTCCCCCATCTGTGGCTTCTCATCTTCCCAGCGGCTTGCCTCGAGTCCTGGCTGTATGTACCTGAGTTAAGATGTCATGTTTACCAAGTAGCTACCAAGGACTTGGAACTGACAAACCTAATTGTGGAAACAAAGGCAGCATGCATGGAACCATTACAGAGCAGTTTAAAATCCCCTTCACAGGATTTTGGTGAGAGTCTGGTTTGCGCTAAGCAGGTAGACAGAGACACTGCTTCCGAAGTCACCTGCATCTAGCAAATAATTATGGAGGTTCTTAGAGCACAATGTCAGATTTATGAGAGATGCCAGAGCTCAGAGTTCCGAGGGCTTTTTCTGGAATTAGTGTGCCTGGTTCGGATGCTGCCTCTGCCACTTACTGATAGTGTAGCTTTGGACCAGTTCCTTAACCCCTCCAGCCCCCATTCTGTGAAACGAGGATCGCAATATGACCCATTTCAGAAGGTTGTTGTTGAGGATTAAAGGAAACATTTTACCACTTCAGGTTTATTTTCACAGTGACCAGCACAGGAGCTGAAAGTTAAGGTCACATATAAGACTTGGATTTTTGGGAGAGGAATGTGGATTCGATGCACTAACCAGAAGGGACCCCTGAAGATTCTTAGGCACGGCAGTGACCTGGGCTGTAATGCTGATGCCGGACCCACATGCGTCCACTGTACCCTCACTCTGTGACCCTGCCTGAGTTAATCCCTGTAAGCTTTGGTTTCTATATCTGCGCAGTGGACATAATGCTGTCTGTTCCAAAGGATAGATGCACGCAGCAGAGTAGCTAACATCTAAAAGACTGACAACGTAAGACATGGGCCAGGATGTGGAGCAAATAGATATAAATCTTCTGCACAGCGAAAGAAACAATCAACAAAACTAAAAGACACCTGACGGGATGGGAGAAGATACTTGCAAATGACATATCAGATAAAGGGTTAGTATCTAAAATCTATAAAGGTATAGATTATCAAACTCAACACCCAAAAAACAAATAATCCAGTGAAGCAATGGGCAGAAGACACGAATAGACACTTTTCCAAAGAGGACATCCAGATGGATAGCAAATGCATGAAAAGATGCTCAACATCACACATCATCAGAGAAAATACAAATCAAAACCACAATGAGATACCACCTCACACCTGTCAGAATGGCTAACATTAACATCTCAGGAAACAACAGACGTTGGCGAGGATGAGTGGAAAGATGAACGCTTTCGCACTGTTGGTGAGAATGCAAACTGGTGCAGTCACTCTGGAAAACAGCATGGAGGTTCCTCAAAAAATTAAAAATACAACGACCCTATGACTCAGCAATTGCACTACTAGGTATTTATCCAAAGGATACAAAGATGATGATTTGAAAGGGCACGTGTGCCCCAATGTTGATAGCAGTGTGATAAACAATAGCCACATTATGGAAAGAGCCCAAATATGCATCAACTGATGAATGTGTAAAGAAGATGTGAGATATATATATATATATATATATATATATATATATATATATATACTATATATACACATATATGATGGAATATTACTTGACAATCAAAAAAATGAAAGATCAAAAAGAATGCTGCCATTTGCAATAATGTTGGTGGAACTAGAGTGTATTATACTAAGTGAAATTAGGTCGGTCAGAGAAAGAGAAAGACAAATATCACATGACATCATTCATCTGTGGAATTGAAGAAACACAACATATCAACATAGGGGAAGGCAAGGAAAACTAAGATAAAAACAGAGAGGGAGGCAAACCATAAGAGACTCTTAAATACAGAGAACAAACTTAGGGTCACTGGAGGGGAGGTGGGTGGGGGACTGGGCTAAATGGGTGATGGTCATTAAGGAGGGCACTTCTTGGGAAACTACTCCTGAAACCAATACTACACTGCATGTTGACTAACTTGAATTTTAAAAAAAAAAGTTTAAGAAAAGAAAAATGCAAGTCAAGAGGTCTTTAAAACTGCAATCGCATTAACTCCAGGAAACTACCAAAAAAAAAAAAAATGAGGATGCTAAATATGAAAATGGTAGAACTAGACAGAAAAATATCAGGAGAATATATTCAAAGTTGGTTCTTTAAATCAATCCTCAAGTCCCCAGATCCTTAGGTAATGGGAGGGGGTGGGGTAAAGAGAGCATGAGCCTACAAATACAGACTAAGAAAGGAGAAATAATTACACAGAAATTAAATGAATTAAAAGAGACCATTTGTGCAAGCTGAATAAAATATCTACTACCTAAACAAGGTCAAAGAGACATTTAAGAGCTTAAACAAAGCAATAATGGAAAAAACTTAGGCCCAAGAAGTTTCATAGGAATAATTTAAATAATATAAGAATTATGGATTTAACATCTTCTTGAATAAAAAAAAGAACAAGTTTTTTTAAAAGCTAGCATGATACTGATATCAAAATCTGACAAACATACAACAAAAGAAAACTGCAGCCTGCTATCATTTATAAACATGAACTCAAAGTCGTAAATAAAATAGTTACAAACAGAATAAGGAAGTATACTGAAAGAATAAGAACAGAGGAACTCAGTGAATCTTTGCAAAAATGCAAAAAATCTGTTGATGTAATTCACAGTACGTAAGTGGTTAGAAGAAAAAAGCAGCCGATCACCTGATTACATGCTAATAGAGTATACAATGAAAATTAAATACATTCCTGGTTTTAAAAAGAGCAAAAAGCATGATCTGTACTTTCTTACCATAATTACACACACACATACACACAGAGAAAAATTAGCAAAAGATTCAAATAGGCAATTCACAGAAAAATAAATGGAGATGGTTAATAAGCATATGAAAAAGTGCTAGCAATTTCACTAATACTGAACACAAGAGAACTCAAGCATGAAATCACCAGTTTGGCGGTGTTGCTAAGGCTGTGAGGACTGGGCTGGCACCCCCCATACAAGATGGCAGGATATACAGTAGATGGAGGGAGGTGTATGTATAATGTCTAATGCATCCTTCCTGAGAAGTGCATCCAAAAGAAACACGAAGGACACTTTGACCCACTATCCCACATCTCAGAATTCACGCTAAGGAGAACATCAGACTAGAGAGAAAAAGGATCTGATCAGCTCAAGAAAGTTCATTACAGACTTTTTACAACAATGAACATTCTGAGAAAGAACATAAATTTCCTTTGTTTGGGAAACAAAGGCACGAGGGGTTTATGCGGCCCAGTCCTCTGTAAGGACGTGGTATAATCTTAGGTGTGTGGGAGAAGCTTCCACTAAAGTTCACAGTGGTTATCTCTGGATGGGTGTGATTATGGTGATTTTTACTTTCCATCGTTGTCTTTTGTTGAAACTGTAAATGTAAGCATGAATCACTTCCCAGAAGCAATAAGGTTTCCCTACACACAATCAAGCCTCCTCCAAGACCCTTGGTGTCTACGGAATGAAGTCAGACGTTTTCAGCCTTTCATGCAAGTTCTTGTTGATCTGGCTCATAATTACTCCCATTCACAGCCCTCATGGCCTTCACCCCCTCACACTTGCCTCCACGTTGAAAATAACCTCTCCACCTACCTCTGATGGACCTTGAAGGCATGAAAAGATGGGTCTTGGTGTCATGTAAGTAGTTGGTGGGCATCTGTCTTCTCTAACAGGTTTCTACCTCACAGCTCCCTCATGTTTGAGGCCCGCCTGTCCCAGTGGGGGTGAGCTCCTTGAGGGAACAGGTCCCTTTCCACCCCCACCAGTCCCCTTAAGCTCCTGACCCAAATCAGTTGCTCAAAAATGTTCTCTTGACTGAAAGCATTAAATCTCCCAGTGAAGGAACTCAAATATTTAAACAAATGGAAAACAGATGTCTTCCAGCCAAAGCACGCAAACTCCACTGGGGACATGTAGGCTGAGTTTCTCACTGAGCACCTAAATTATCACTAGGAAGCCCCACACCTCTTCTATCAGGCATCCTGAATGACACTTGCTAATTATCAGCATTACCAGGAAGCTGCTGGAAAAAGCCAAGGTGACCCTTCCAAAGTTGTCTTCCCATCAGAGCTTCCTCGTGAGATGTAAGGAATGGGTCTCACCTGGCTCATGGTGGCTTTCAGCATTTCCAGAAGCAGCAGGGCACCTTCAGTGCACAGCCCAACCCGGAGGACTTCTTCACTGTAGTGCTTCTGCAAGAGCCACTGAAGCATGGCATCCAGGCTGTCCTGAAAGAGGGGGCAAGGACTATAGAGAGACATATGGCTGCATGCCAGTGGGACCAGCTTTCCGGCCAGTGCATCATGTTTCTCAGGGGGCCTGAGTGGGAAAGACGAAACGGCACAGTAACAGCCTAGGTGGCTGGCCCATATGTAGAACTTCAGCCCACTCAGTGGCGTGTGAGGGAAATACACACCTCCTATAAGATGCTGCAGGCCCACACAACCTGCATCAAGTTTAGCTCTTTTGTTTGGTTTGAGGTCCCAATCAACTTTAATGAATTTTTGTAAATGCAATTACAGAGGACATAGGAGGAATTCAAAGGCTTTGAGCACAGTGCAGAGTGTAGCAGAGGGAATGTGGAATTGACCAGCAGGGCAATCTGACTTTGCCTCTTGCAAAGCTGGGTTTGTGCAAGCTATTCAGCCTCTTGGCAACTCAGTTTCCTTCTCTGTAAGATGAAAATTGCATTCTCTACCCCATGGGATCATCATAAATATCAAGTGAAATAAAATTTGTAAAACGTCTATCATGGGTCCTGACATTCAGCAGATGTTTGCTTCCTACAACACATTCTTGGAGAAATAGAAATGCACGGTTTCGGTGAACCTAGCACAGCATATTAAGAACTTTATTTTGAAGGGCGATCTATAATACCATTAGCATATATCAAGATTTAGGTAGGTCAAATATAAGGATATGCAAGGGAGGTGGATTTTCTAGCCTTCTATTTGCAGAGCCATGCCCCTCCCCCAATTTCCATTCAGCGCAGTTTAACTCCACTCAATTGAGACCAAGAAACAATTTCTGAATCTGCTGTTTGTCAGGTGCCCAGAAAGGTGAGTAAGAAGTGGAGTCTGTTCTTGAGGTGCTCAGTAGCTAAGGAGAGAGGAAATCACGTAACTGTGTCAGTGTCATATAAGGCAAAGGTGTGCTGAGACACAGGAGGGAGTGGTTCCCCGTGCCCAGGGATCTAATCAGGAGGTGGCATCTGAGCTGTGTTTTGAAGGAGGACCCCTCATCAGGCAGGTGACATGGGAGTAAGAACTCATTAAAGGCACAGGGGAGGCAAGCACAAAGCAGCTGATCTTACTGGGGAGGTGACTCGGGGGTTTCACGGCACAAAGGGCAGGTAAGCAAGGAAGCTGGGTGGAGAGACAAGTCGGACACCCCATCGCAAAGGGTCTTGGCACTGGCTGTGGATGGTGAACCTGATCCCGCAGGAACGGGAGCTCATGAAGACCTGGATGAGTGAGTGAGTGTGTGAACGGTGAGAAGCTATGTGTCATGAGTGTAGACTCCTCTTAGGAGAGAGGTGGCTAAGGAAGGACAAGACAATGACAAATAGGAAAACAGTTGGCCAGGAGTATGAATCAAAGGGTCAGTTTCTGGTTTTAGGTGGGACACAGTTCACCATATTCATGGTCTCTGAGGAAAGAGTCCATAGAAAAGAAGATGCTGAAAGTACAGGAAAAAGAAGGGTCAACTACTAGTGAGATCACTCAGGAAAGGAGTGGAAGGAATCCAGATCAGCCTGGAAAAACTACCCTTTGCCAGTGACAACAGAGAGAAGGTGATGAAGAGGGGCATGGCATGACCAGGTGGTGGAGAGCAGGGTACCAAAGCAGTACCTCCCTCTGGGGCCCTCCATTCCCACTGTGAAGTAAGTCATTGGAGCAAAGGGTGGCTTTGGAGCAGAAGTCTGAAGAGCATATATGGTTTACTCTAGAATGCAGGGGAATCAAGGCACTTCGCTAAGGTCAAGAGACACACTATTTCAGAAGGTATAAACTGAGGTTCTAATTCTGTGGTGGCAGCAACCCGCCTCCCTTCCCATGCCCATGATCATGTGACTTCTCTAGCCATGCCCAGAAGGGGAAAGACTTAAAAGTGGGACTGATAAAAACAGAGACCTGCTGGCAGGGAGGATGGGAGGCAGAAGCCCAAGAACTCAGAATACCTGAAGAGCTAGAGAAGGGAGTGGCTCTGTGAGGGAAGGAAGCGGGTGAGAACACAATATGAGTTGGGAGAAGTGGATAGAGGTAGCGGTGGAGAGTCTTAGGGAACTGCCTCGGTCACACAGAATGAGACCAGGTATGTCACTGTATCCCAGGGGTACCCCAAAAACCTACTTTGGGCCCGTCCATCAGCTCTGTAAGTGGCGTCTGCAGGAAGAAGGTGGACACAATGAGATAGACTTCTGGGATATGCACATGGTGGCCCAGAAAGTCTTTCAAGACGCGGAACCCAGGAAGCAGGCAGGGGCTCTGGTCAGGCATGGCAGGGTGGCTCTTCAGGTTATCTATTGATCAGGTGGAAGGGGCACAAAATCCAATTGAGAACAATTGCTGTTGCTTCTGGTCAAGGTGGGGACTGGGAACATGAAGGGATTCCCTGCCACCTACCCATCCCATAGAAATGCCAGATAGAAATACATGTCATACACACATGACCACAAGAAAGTATTCAATAAGAGTTCCTTTCCCTATTTCAGACACACTCATTCATTCATTCATTCATTCATTCAGAAACAGATACTTAGTGCCTACCACCTTAGAGGCAAAAGGCTAGCTTTGTATTAAGCAATAAGGACATAGCATTTCAACAAAATATACAGAACCCGAGACCCTCACAAAGTACTTACGATGTAGTTGTAGGGAAGGACATTATGGAATTAAATGCCCCAATAAATATTTGCTTGTGAATTGTGATAAACACCATAAAGAAAAGTAATAAGGGCAAAGAGAGTATAACAGAGGGGCCCTAATTCAAGGGGAACCCTCTTCTCCTGGAGGAAGTGGCATTTGAACTGAGACCTGAGGGATGAACCCATACCATCCAGGAGAGCCATGTTGGTGTTGTGGGTTGGGGGCAACATCCCAGGAAGAGGAAAAGAGCTGAGGAGCTCTTGAGGAATGGAAGGAAGCCCCCCGTGTCTGCAAAGTAGTCAGGACATAAAGGGATCTTGACAAGGAAGTAAGAGGGGACTGGGACTGATCGGGATCAGAGGTCAAGGTGATCCTACTGTGAGAGCATGAAGGCCCCTAGAGGAAGGAGTTTGGCCGGTCCTCACTTGCAGCCCAGGATGAGGAGGTGTCCTGCCTCCTGGAGAAGGCTGCACACTCACCTATCACAATGTCCACTCCCTCGAAGCTGCGCTCCACCCAGGACCCCCCAGACAGGCCTTCTTTAAATCGCCCGCGGAGGGAGGGGCTTGCCAAAAAGTGCAGCAGAAGCTTCAACCCCAGCACCGTGGTGCTTGGATGCAGGTGGCCCTGTACAAGGAGCAGGAACCAGTCAGGCCCCAGGTTCAAAAACATCTCTTCCTTTGTCCTGGCGGGGGGGGGGGGTCAAAAAATGCAATAAAATATCTCTCAGTCCATGAGCAAATAACACATCCAGAAAATACAAATAATTTCCAGCCTCGCTAGTCACCTAGGAGAGGCAAATTAAGGTTGATCTGGATATCACTCAGTGAAGTACATGTTATATTTTTAAAGAATGGTAAACTAAAATGCTGGCAAAGTTGCTGTTAAATGGCTGAACATGTTTATGAATCACTGCAATGTAAGTTGGCCAAAGCTCTTCAAAGCAATTGGAAACTGTACCAACAGATGTAAAAATGCGCAGGCCCCTTGAGAGCCCTAGCCCACTAGTATTCATACTTCCAGGGGCTGACCAGCCACCCATCTAATTACATCAATACAGTTGCATAAAACACATAATGGTTAAGTCACTCCCTTTTCAGATATACTGATCAAAATTAATCTAGGGGCGCCTGGGTGGCGCAGTCGGTTAAGCATCCGA